CCTACCCAGGATTACTTCAACCACTAAAGATCCCTCAGCAAGCCTGGAAGAGCATCTCCATGGATTTCATTGCTCAACTGCCACCTTCAACCGATGGCTTTACCTCAATTTTGGTGGTGGTAGAAAGATTAACCAAATATGTGCATTTCATTCCACTGAAACACCCTTACACGGCCAAAGAGATTGTAGAAGTTTTCTTCAAAGAAATTTTCAGGTTGCATGGAGTTCCTGAAGACATTGTCGGTGATAGAGACTGGATATTCACTAGCCATTTCTGGAAGGCTCTCTTCACTACAATGGGAGTCAAGCTGAATCTAAGCACCTCTTATCACCCTCAGACGGATGATCAAACTGAGAGGGTTAACCAATGCCTGGAAGCTTATCTGAGATGCTACTGCAGTCATTCACCAAATTCCTGGTCTTCCTGGTTAGTTCTTGCTGAATGGTGGTATAACACCTCCTTCCAATTTAGTGCTAAAATGACTCCTTTTGAAGCCTTAAATGGGAGCAAACCAACCAGCATTCCGCTGGGTCCCTACCATTCAATTATTATACCAGCTGCAGAAGATATGTTGAAGCAGAAAGCCAAAGTGATCAAGGATTTGCAGGAGAATCTGAAAAGAGCTCGATCCCGTATCTCCTTTTTTGCAAATCAGAAAAGGATTGAGTGCCATTTCATGGTTGGAGAGTGGGTCTATTTAAATTTACACCCTTACAGGCAGAGATCTTTAGCTGGGCAAGCTTCTTGGAAGTTATCAGTACGTTATTATGGACCATTCAAAATTTTGGAGAAAATCAGAAGTGTTACATACAAACTTCAACTACCTGAGCATTCTAAAGTTCACCCATCTTCCATGTTTCTCTCTTAAAAAAACATCATGGCAGCAACCCCATATCTCCTACTGAAATCCCTTATCTAGCTGATGATTCAAAATGCATTTTAGTTCCAGACAAAGTGCTACAAAGGCGTCTCGTTCAGAGAGGAAGACTCAATGTAGTTCAGTGGTTAATTCAGTGGAAGAATCTACCTATGGAAGAAGCATCATGGGAGGATACTCAGTTCATTTGCAAACAATTCCCGGATTTTCAGACTTGAGGACAAGTCTCAGCTTAAGGAAGGGGGAATGTCATGCAGCCCAATTTCGTTTGTTTTAATTTTAAAATTAGGTTTCTGATTTAGGGGCAAACGGCGTCGTTCCGTCACCAGCTCACAGCAAGCATGCAACGTCCAGCACCTGAATTCAAGCTGACGCAGCAACAACTAGCAGTGTGATTCCTTTTGGATAACTACTCGCAATTTCGGTTTAGCTAATTATCTGGCATGTTATATATATAGAAGGAAAGGCTTTGTAAGAAACAACAACGTTAATGAAAGATTCCTTCTCCTAATTTATATTATGTCGTTTTCATCTTTTCTGGCCACCTACTGACGCTCCTCTCTCTCTCATTTCGTCCTTTCTTTGTCCCCTTCTTCTCTCATTTCTGTTCTAAATCCGGATAATTCAAAACCCACTTTTGAGTTTGCTTTTCTGTCAAGCTATTTCTGTTAAAAACCTAAATCATTATTAATATCATCACAAGGGGCAGGCCGCAAGGGAATGTGATTACCATTGTATATTTGATCTGGGGTGAGATTGGCACCTACCTGAACCTTTTTAACCAATATATTAAGTTTTTAAAAAAAGGATATAGGACTGAGGTAATAATTATAAAAAATTATAAAGTATCTGGATTAACTCTTAACTATTTGCAATCATGAAGAGCAGTAAGTCTTCACCGGGACATCCGCGTATACTAGTGAAAGTTAGTTGAAACACAGACCGGAAGGATGATCATACATATTCATGTTGAACTTTAGAGTAGCTATGACAACGATGGATCGTTTTTATATTCAGAGGATCGATTTCTTTCTTTTCACAAAATTGTAATTATTATTATTATATTTTTTTGGGGGGGAAAGGGAGGCGGAAGTAGTTCTGTTCTACCAGTAACGATGATATATATACATGAGACTGTAAGAAGACCGGAAGTTTTGGATGAAATTCGGCCATTACAGACTTACAATAGTCATCAACATGTTCTTGGAGTTTTGGGTTTCCTTTTTTTTTTTTATTTATTTGAATCTGCAGAGTAGCCTACTATGTTCAATCAACTTAGATTAATATCAAAAACACCCTCAAGGTCTCTCATTATGTGAATCACTCATAAATTTTTAAGATATATAAAAAAAATATCCCTTAATAGGCAAGTCAATTATCAACACGGTCCTCTAATAGCTGATAATTGATGTATGCATATGAAGTAAGAAAAAAAGTTCCAAAAAAGCTATTTGTGTCCCCAAAATCCCTCCATGATCTTTTTTTATTCTAATTAAAATCGAATATTTACTTCTAAATCCAAAATTTATCTTATCGGAGCCCTGAAAGCTGAATTTTCGTATTTAAAAATAGACCTGAGTGATTCTTGTTTCATATAATTTAATCCATTAATTTCAATTATTATTCTTCCCTGGCAAAAGCATTATATACTTATGACATAAACAAAATCCGGCTTCCACATACATCACAAAAGAGAAGAAATGGACGCTTTAATTCATGATATGCATCCAAACTAACAAACTCTAGCTAATTATTTTACTCACTAATCCACCTAAGCGGCCCGGCATCTAACATGAATTAATAGTACCCAAAATGTAAGAAGAAACAACCCAACTGATCCTAGCTCATCCTAAATTAATCCACCGGTTTTAAATTATAGTTATACAAAGATTTTTTTTTTTTTTGTTTTGGAGGGGGGGGGGGTGGTGCGTGTAGTATTGTTTCTCACAGGGGATTTGTTTTATATGTCTTTTTACTATAAGTGAAATATAAACATAGAGGATTAGCTTAATATATATTATGTGTATGAGAAACAGCAATTACGTGATGTTTCACTTTTGTGATTTAACACTCTTTGTAACTTATCTAATTTCAAAAACTCCGCGGGAAGGTTGTTGTCTTTGACGCTAAACTATCTGTATGCATAATTCAACGCAACAGTTCGCTAATTCCTCTTTATTATTATTATTATTATGGAACATCATTTCTTTGATAGTATATCTTTAATATATTAAAGGAGAATTTTCAAGCAGACACATGTCGCGATATTAGATACGTTAATTCACGTGGCGCAAAATTAGATACCCAAGTCCACATGTCGTAAGCACATCACTCTATCATTTAATGGTAATTTTTTATTTATAAATCCGTAAAATTTATAAATAATAACTAATTTTACCCTATTAATACTCCATATTTATAACCAAAATATTAAATTAACTAGGAGTTAATCGAAACTTTAACGTGTAAGCATTAAAGAAGAAAACAATTTGAATTAAGACTAAACTTTGTGTTTTAGTTCGTGATTTACTTACAAGGGTAATTTATATTGTGTTTATACGGGACTATAGTACTATACCCATATACTAAGTTATAATCATGAAACTGTTGAAAGTTTTTCTCGCTTGCTCCTTTGTTATCTCTTCTATTCTCCAGCTAGAAGCCTAATGTACTCTGTTACTCTGCCGCTTTTAAATATTTTTTTGATTGATTTTCCTCTCTTTTTTTTTTCCAAAAGAAATTAAGTACATTTTAGAAATTATTCGAATAATTTTTTGGACAGTTTTCTTTTCCGTATAATGATGTCCCTTGCCGATCCAAATTTTCATGCAATTTTATATACAATTACAAAGCAAATTGTCACAACATTATAGAAAAAATGAGTCTAAAAACTCTTTACTGTAGACATATATTGGGTTTGTCATTAGCATCGATATATGCATATCTTAATGAAAAACCCTAATTAAAACACAAATGAAAAACCAAAAAAAATCATAGGGGCATCAAATCAGATGAGAAAAAACTTATAATGAAATTAATATATCTTTTTGTAGGTGGATATGTATTAACTTAGTTATGTGTTACGTTTAGGATATATAGAAAAAGGTCAAAACCATGCAATCAAGAAAAAACAGATGCAAATACTACATTATAGAAAAAATATACGAACAAACTTCTAAAGAAATATTACACAAGGTATATAGAAATACGGAAAACATAGATAAATTTATGAAAAAAATAATGAGAAAACTTCCTGGTAGCAGGAGCGTTTAAGAGATATGAAACGAATAGAAATATTTAGAGGGGTCACTATAAAAAATTAGGAGACTTCTTTTAAACGATATAAAAATCATGAAATTAACAAAATTAAAAAAAAAATGAACAATAAGTAACAATGGATTATTTCAAAAATTAAAAATTATTCCAAAAGGTACTTAAAATAACGGATCACATTGACATTAAAAATTACACAATTATAAGTTATATCATTATATATATATATATACATATATCATTCCATCAGAAATATTATATAATCGATAACTTATTAAACTTATATATATCTTGAACAACCACACAACGTGTGGGGACAAACACTAGTATAGATAATTTCACTATTTGATTTATTTTATTCAAAGTAAAAAGATACTGTGTTATCTAATTGCTTTAGGGTGTAATTTTCATTCTTAATATCTTTTTAATATTTCCTCTGTCACGAAAATATAATTTAATTCAGGCGAAGCAAATTAACCTTGGAACAGACTTTGTGATTGTGTCTATTATAGCTCCGTATGAGAACATACTGTTCAGGGAAACGAACCCGAAGTTTCCCTTGATGAGTTGCCAATATCCTAAAGGGCACTGTAATCACATTAACAACGTACTTATGAGTTATGCGCGCTGTAAAGTTGGTAAAAAAAAAGTTCTGGTATTTTAATTTGTTGTTTTCAGTACTTTTACCCGTGAAGGGTAGGTATCTCGGGAATTTTCAAATTTTCCTGTTTTCTGGTAGTCCTACTTTCAGGGGGAAAAAAAAAAGGTTGTTTCCTAATAGGTTAAGGTTTACTTCGGTCTATAAATAATGTACCATCTATCAGGGTTTAGTTCAACCTAGAGAGATTACTTCATCAAAAAAAATCTCCTACAATTCTTTATTGTTTTTGCTTTCAATACTCTTGTTTCCAAATAAAGCACCTATATTTACTTAAGTGATTTCTTGAGCGTTTCTTTTTCTTTTGTAGGTTTTTGACTTGATCTTAACTTCAGACATGGCAAAGCATAATCCTGATTTGATTATGTGCCGGAATCAGCCAGGGATCGCGATCGGACGGCTCTGCGAAAAGTGCGACGGCAAGTGTGTGATTTGCGATTCTTATGTGCGTCCTTGCACGCTGGTTAGAGTTTGTGATGAATGTAATTATGGCTCTTTTCAGGGTCGCTGCGTTATCTGTGGAAACATAGGTATTTCAGATGCTTACTATTGTAAGGAGTGCTCGCAGCTAGAGAAAGATCGAGAAGGGTGTCCTAAAATTGTGAATCTTGGGAGTGCTAGAACAGATCAATTTTATGAGCGTAAGAAATATGGCTTCAGGAGAAGAGGATAAAGACGATCAGAAGATTAATTGCGGAAAGTGGAATGTTAGTTTTATTTGTTATAGTCTTCCGCCTCGATATAGAGAACTTGGAGAAGCAAAAGTGTCGAATTTCTACCGTTATTTATTATAAACTTATATTTGGCTTAATAAATTGATCTAGTTATACAAAGTTCTTGTATTAGTTGTTTCTTTTTTTCAATTTTTTTTCTTGTTTTTTTTTTCTTGTTCCTGATTGTTTCAACGGCCTTTGGATGCAATGGACACTTTTATTTCTTGTTCGATTTGGAATATGGAAGGTGTCAATTTATCAATATGAGTTTCATAATCGGGCTTCGGTACAGTACGGGATCCTCTACGGGATCCTCTGTGTCACTTCTCAGTGACATTCTCTGTTATACAATTTCATTATTCTCTATAAATCACATAATGTGTTAACTCATATATCCTTTGTTATTTTCATATAGTTAGTTTTATTTTATATATAAATGTTTTATTTTAAATGAAATTTGCCTATTTTTATTAAATTTTTAACTATAAAAATTAAAATGAATAGGCTCCAGCCCGAAAAAAAAAAGTGAACCTGTACTTCTAATATATTAACTTCAAAAGTAATTGTAAATGGTGTAAACATTAATGCAAATGAAAAAATTTATTCGAAACCATTGAATGGTGCAACAGAGATTGTCACAAGAAAGTCACACAGAGAATCCTGTGATGTTTCAATTTGTTTTTCTTTTTGATCGTGTCAAACCCATTTTGATAAAATTGGAAGTACAAGTTCAATCCAATTTATTTACAATTTAAAACAAAATTTTTTCATTAAATATTTCCGAGATCAGCCATTTATTGACCAAGGAAATTGTGTATATGGATATGATATAACATCTTCTTCTTTTTTTACTTAGGAAGGCAACACTACTTTTTAGGGGTGGAATTCGGAAAAACTTACTCCTTTTGTCTCGAAATTATTGTCCAATTTAGTTTTTATTTTTAATAGATAATGAACTAAACGTGAAAATCCAAACTGGACAATAATTTTGAATCACAGAATGTATGAGTTGCTTAAAACAAGTTATGAAAAAATGGCTTAGATAATAAAAATGGAATATCATTAAGGGTTGGTATACAGAAATCATAATTTTCCAACATGAAGCCAAAATAGCAATAACTGAATCACTTATATGTAGAACAAAAGTCTCAAAAATTCTCACTGGCCATTGAAGTTTGAGCTATGAACAAGAGTTTCTAGCATGTAACTACATATAAAGTCTGCCAAAAAAGAGAAGAACATTTCCAGCCCCTATTACGTATTAAAATAGAGTTCCCACCTATAACGTATGATATAGTGAGTCCTGATGGTGTACTAGGACTCTTCTGTTACGAACCGTATCTCTTCAATGATTAAGAGATAATGTCAAGAATCAGTTTGTTCAAGATAAAACTTTAGTAAATTGTAATTATCTCTTACTATTTAAAACATTAAATAACTAAACTGGTGATAACTATGTGATCCACTAATCATGATAATTATATATCCTTTCACTTGGACCAGATAAATTTTATATTCAAAATAAATTACGCAGAATATGGCCATAAAAGTCGGGTATAACTTAACTATGTTACTGATTAAATTACATTTAAAAACATAATGCAAAAATCATGGCAATCATGCTTTTAGAGTCAAGCACTACCTTCCTTTTATTAGTGTGCAATTCATTTATAATTAATATAGATATTTAAGGTCCATATGTTGATCAAAGATAACTTATAACATCTATTATCCTAGAAGACAAAACAAATAGTCAGGGAACAAATTCTAAAATAGGCTAACAAGTCCAATATGATTGATATTATCCTAGAAGATTTTAGCTGAAAATCATTAGTCATAGGATAAGCAATCATTAAATGAGTTCTAATATGGTCATAGATACACCTTTCAAGTGGCATACTTTATTCTGAGAGTTTCAATGGAGCATCCTCAAGGAAACCAACTCAGCGTACATGCACTCTGAAATCAAGAGGTTATTATCCTTACATTGTGCATATTTTTCTCCCGTAAGTATCATGGTATTAGCAGAATCAAAGAAATCAGTTGTGGAAAACACTACATTAGCCAATAAAATCATATTAATGATATCCAAACAAACTATGTTTAAAACCTTCCTTTGGGTAGAGCTTGCTTAAATTCATAGAAAGCATTAAAGAAAATTTAATAACAAAAAAATTTTCCAAACGTGTGGATAGGAAAAATACTCCATACTTTATGTTTGAATTTCTGGCTTATTACCACTAATCTTACCAAAACAAATTACTTTACCTTGTGATAGAGTAATTATTTTAAAATGTTTGAGCTATTTCTAATATAATTTACAAAAATAATGATATCAAAATCTATTTTTCTCAAAATAGAACATTATGAATCCATGATCATGACTTTCTTTTTTTGAATAATGTTCAGTTTTTTTAGTATCCAACTTAATGCAGTAACTATGTTGAGTTAGTTACTCAAGTGGATCATATCAACACACAAGTGTAACGGAAGGAAACAGATGCTACAATTATTACACATCATTCTGATTAACAAAGCAACAATTGAAATTCCCGAGAAAAACTAACATTAGGCACAAATTAGCCTGTCATTCGCTTTCAAACCAAAAAATAAAAATAAAAAATAAAAAAAGCTTGCCATCTGCTTTTCAAGAAACATAGAGACAGCATGGCTTCAAATGCAATGACAAGTCCTAAGCTGTCTTTCTAGCCTTCAGATGCAGCTTCGTCAATACAGTGCTAATTCAGCTCCTTCGATCACCCATTTCTTCGATCTGTATTCCTTTATTCATCATGCACTTCCTTATCTTCCCCCACCCACTGGGAATTAGTGCACGAACAGCCCTAATCCTGATTCTCTCTTTCACTGACGCAAGGGTTCTGACATCTTTCACAGTTGACACTCCGACAAGGCTTCTAGAAGTCAAATAATCCAGCAACTTCTTCTTGCATAGGTCCAGGAGCTCAAGGTTGTCCTCAAAAATTTCTTCGTAATCCACCCCATTATTCAGCATTTCTGCAACGACCCTTCTTTCCACCGCATCTTTCTCTGCCTGTCGAAGCAACCTGCGGGATTGGTAGAACGTCGTCACCTTCTGTGCAGATGCCTTCATGTCAATGATTCCCTCATTCTTTTCTTCTTCTCCAAAAAAAGAAACTCCAGAAGACTTCAAATCGTTAGATACTTCAGAGAAGTGGGGAAATCTTCCCTTCGGTCCTCCTAGCACTTTATCCCAGCTATTGAGAAGAAGTACAACCTTCTGCATCACCTGCAAATTGCCCTTCTTCTTCAGAATTTCATCATATCCCCTAAAATACTGTCCTGAGCAATCAGCTCAAACAGACTATCCCGACGGTTCTTTGCAAGGTGGTCCAAAACAAAAAGTGAAAGAAGCTGTACTCTGGGATGTGGGCTGTTCAAGCCCTTCCGCAATACTCTCATAACATCACTGGCTTTCTTTGGATCCTTGCTAATTATATCATAAAGGTACTCAGCACAGGCTTCATCATAGCGATCCTTTTTTGTCCATTCTTATCATGACCTAAGCTTTTATTTACCTAACGTAAAATGTACTCTTTAGTCTTCTTCGGTGATGAAAGAATCTCTCTTAGAACGGGCTCTTAGGTCTTCTTCGGAATATGAATGAATCTGCAATTCAATCCAAAATGTATTTATAGTTCAATAACAAAGGGTCTCAAATTTCTGAATTGGTAGGTAATTTAAGTATTCGGAAGAAATTTGAAGGGAAACTAGAGTGGAGGATGGATCTAAGTATTCATGATCATGACCTAAAAACATGCTATGCTCGAATAGAAGGGAACTACTTATTTGAAATCGTTGATAAAAATGCATGTGATCAGACACAACATACAAATTAATAAAGATCCATTTTTGAATGTTATCAGTACCATATACAGTATAGAGTAGCTAAATTAAAAATTTGTAAATTAACAATATTGAGTAAGTGATAATTTTCTCCAGTCTCGACTTTGGACTAGTACATATAAGTGAGCAAAATCGATTAAAAAAAAAAGATTTATGTTTTTAGAAAATTATGTATATATCTACTAGTCCCAGCGATATTATAAATTAATACTTACCATGAATCGAAAAATAACAATAATAATAACTATAAACATTTAGTAAAATGTGAACTATTGAAACTGGAGCTTTTAATAACTGAAGACGATATAAACTATGTATGGATTTTCGTATCAAGAAGAGTTACAATATTTATCTGATCTAGATGGTAAAAATAATAGAATAGTAAATAATTTAGTAAAGGTTCTTTTTCTTCCTTAAGGAAAATCTTTAAGTTAATGTAGTGAATATTTAATAATTTTTAAAATTAATAAATTGTGGTGGTCCCAAAAACATTAATTTAAAGAACTAGATGCATGGGCAAAACCACCTTAGGGCGTGGGGGTTCTCGAGCTTCTCCTCCCCTTCCCTTACTAGTCAAGAAAGCCATTGAGGTATCTCCGGCAAGAGCCAAGGTGGATCCCTTTTTCTTACTCAGCCCCCCTTCCCCAAAAATATGGAATACAAAATTGCAATCCTCGAAGGCCATTGTTATTATTAACATCCAAATTAGTCGTCGGTGTAGAGGGGTGGTGAGTTGCAAAGCCTGTTTTTTCAATGGAGGAGAAAGAACTGGTTATGATTTCAAGATTAAATATTGCATCGCTAATATCCCCCCTCCTTTTTCAATAATATGTCACAAAGGCCCTTATCACTTCAAAACCTTTCCCAATGGCTTTTGATTTAAGACTTTTGGCTCTTAACTTTTCAAAAATTATAAACTTCACCCACATCTAAGGTTTTATGCCTTAGGGACTATTTCTAATTTCTCCATTTAAATGAATTTTTAAAATTCAAAAATTATGAGCATTTTTTTTCTACCGTCTTGATGAATGAGCCAGCCCCCACCCTCCAAGGGAATCTTGAGAGCTAGTTCCGCCACTGACTGCGTGAAACTATTCAAAACATACATATTGAAAAAATATTTGAAATATGCAGTACTTGATTAAAAACAAGTTTCGTTAGCAAAAAAAAAAATTGAATAGGACAAAATCATGCTTTAGTGCTTTAAACAATTAATTCGTGTTGTTAAAACTTGAAAGTGCATAATCTACAATCACATAATCAACCAATATCAATATATATATATATATATATATATATATCCCTTTTACCCTATTAAAACAGAAGACATGAACCTTATGTGGCAACTATGTATGCATCTGTTTTGGCTCCAATGCACCATATTTCAGATTTCAGAAGTCTTTTTGCCACGTGTAAGTCTCTTATAATTAGAAGCTATATAAATTTTTTTTAAAAAAAAACACATAATTTACTACAAATAAGGATCAGTTACATTTCAAACGAATGGATATATTAATTCAAATTCAAATGTCCAATTGTACAGTTTTGCAGGCTTAATATAAACAAAAAATAAAAATACCTAAATCCAGCAATTAAGAATAATGCCTTATAAACTAATTATTTATTATTCCCTTATAACCTCATATTTATAGGTATATTTTTTTAAGCCCCAAACCATAGCATAAATGATATATACACCAAACTAATTCCTCAAAAAATAGTAATTCAATTAGATTTTAATAAAATAGTAATTTAGAGGGGACGCCCGGGTATCTGTCCAGGCCAAGCATCTAGTAATTTATTATTGCAGAAACCAGTGAGATAAACTTTGATGACGTGTCAAGCTAGAGTTAATTATTTTACCGCTCAAAATCTCTATCAAGAAATCCAATATCATTTCAACCACCGTTAGAAAAAAAAAAACAAAAGAAAAATAATTTTATTTTGCAGTTACCTGTACTAAAGAAATCAACCGGCGATTGGCAAACTGCTCTATAATTTTCTCAATTAAAGATTTCAACGATTGCAAGCCAAAAAATAGGTTAGGAATTATCTTTAGCAATGAAAGAGGAAAACTCCATCGTTAACCCCAAGTCCACCATTTCTGCAGAAAACAACGCTGGATATTGGGGGTGAATACGGCGATGACAATTAGAAAAACATCAAACAAGTACCCTGTAGAAAAACCTAGAAAGAAGTCGGCAATAGGTTAGTGTGTTTTTTTTTTTTTTTTTTTTTTGCCGCATAATTTTGTATTGATGTGGGCAATTAATATTTTTCCTACACCAGCCAAGGGCATGAGCCGCGCTCCTACCTTAGTCATCCTCTACATGTACAAGTGGTGGTAGGATTCAACCATTCAACCGCAATTGTAGCGCCTCAATGTCAAATCCAGGAACGACGCTAAGGTATTTCCAAAATTTTAGCGGCTCCATATTAATCATTTGTTCGTTTTGCTTGGATTTGAGATTTTACTAAATTATTTTTTAAAGGACTTCATGTTGATCTAAGGTGTACTCATTTCTTAATGGGTTACAGTTCTTATAAATTTCTTCTTTTTTTAGATTACCAAGATTAAGTCTTCATGTCATAAGATAATAATTTGATTTGGTTCATAGGGTAGGCACATGGTAAAGAATCAAACAGTCAAATTATTTGTTTTTTTTATCTTTCCTTTGTTAAGTAGTCTGATGGAAAAAGAAATAGGTGCGTTGCAGTTTGGTAAACCCAGGAGTCTTAACTCAATAGTTTTCATGAAGAAGAGAAGCAGTATATGAGCTGCACGTTGCTACTTGATATTCTTTGCACTTTCATCGAGAAAACAATTAGAATGCTTATAGAGCGGAAAATTGTATATAGAGTTTCTTGGATGTAAGTTTTGAAATGCAACCTTATCTTGCTGGTGTTTTAGAAAACTTGAGGCGCAATAGCCGAATGCCAGTATAATTTTCATAGTCATGGTTATTTCCCCAATTATATGGTAGATTGCTACATCGCATTTCATAGTTCATGGTCTTTTCCAATTATAATTTTCAATTCAGTGTGTAAAACCTATGATGTCCTTTATTCAAAATACATAAAACAGAGCTCTAGCTGCAGTTGAATTTTTAGCTTCAACGTCCTCTTAGCCTTGCTGCAGTCTGAGGGTTTTTTGTGATCTCTTACCAATAGTCTGTTTGTTCACTGGCTAAATTTAGTTAATAAGCTACTTGTCATTGTGTGGTTAGCCCAACAAGCTTCTTAAAATGCTGGTGGCGTTTGTATTTTTTTGTACATTCTCAAATCTGATCGGCATTCCTTTGGTGTTTATTTCAATGATTTAATTTTCATAATTAGCTAAATGATGTGCAATTGATCAACGTAGTTGTTTTCTAGGAGTTAATATGGTCTTGCATTGGAGAAGGATGAGGTGATCAATATAAGTTCCTTCTGCATCTTTGGAGTTTACTCTAGAAACGCATCATTTAATTTGACAAGCTGATACATTCTTTGGTTCCAGGTAATAATTTCCTAGCCATTATATATATCTCTTTGCAATCCAAACTTGTATTCTGCAAGCAAGACTATCGTAATTGATCCATGCAGCCCCGACTTCAAAAGTTTGAGCACCATTAGCTTTGCATTGCATAGATACAAGTGAGCATTTTGTATCCAACTCCCAATGACCAAATGTTCTTGGTCTTTTGCTTGGTTGTTTCATTGTCCTTGTCATTTTTAAATTTACGTAAGCAATGAGACGTTTCAGTGATGACTTCACTTTGGCTTAAAGCTGCCTTAAATATTCTTTTCTTTTTGGCCGTAGAGATTAGCTAATTTGTATAGCTTGTTTTTCTTTCTTTAAGCTTATCATTAACATTTGGTGTCGTTAGTTTTACAATCATTGACATTCTATTACTGTAATGAAGGTTCATTTTTATCACATTCGTCTTGCAATCTTTTTACGGTTTTAGATATTGTTTTGTTAAGTTATTTTAAAGGTTTAAATTGATTGAAACGGATTCAATTCAATATTATAAAAGAAACCAAATAAATAAAAACTATGATAGCATATTTTATGTTGCAATAAATTAAATTGCATATTGAACAATCATCCTTTTCATTCTACTTTGACGTGATGAATTTTATGTGTGAAATGCCAATCTTTTTCTTCTTGTGTTAATTATATGAGAAGAAAAGTTATTCACTATATTATGAATTTCAAATGGCATAAGTATTTCATTATCTACTATATGCAATCATATTTCCGTAATTGTTTCTAAACTATTAACACAAAAAATATTAGATTATTGAGAGAAAGGAATAGTAAACAATAAATAAATCATAGCTACAATGATTCAAATTTGAAAGCCTTAGTATTAAAGAAACAATGTGAAGATGAAT